TAAAAATATTGCATTTTGTTAATTATCAGCCAACATCTTACTTCTCCCTTTTACCTTTTAACAATTTATCAGAAAAGACTAGCAATAGAAGCACCATTCGACAAATGTATTTTATAGCAGTGCCACTCTCTTATGTTTTAGATAAGAGTGATAGAAGAATTCATAAAGGGAGTTGTATTGAATACATGGATTATTTCACACTTTTAGAATGCAAGTTAAATTGTTTTTAAAAAAAGACTACACAGGCAACAAATGGATAATCACCTTTTTCTGTGCCCATAGCCACTATGGTGTTCAGGGGAGATAGAGGAAATAATTAAATTAGCTCGAAGAATGCAGAAATCTTTTCTGATTGATGCACTGAGAAGTGGCTGTGGTGGCTCTCTTTGCAATATAATCCCTAACAACATCTGTCGATGCTAAGTTGCAATTACTCAGCCGTTAACAACCATTACAAGAAAAGCAATGCCAACATGTGGAAGAAGACTCACATCACACAGCATTAGAGTGCTGGGTCCCAGGATAGGTTTTCCCCAGGTAGATGTCTGGCGAAAGGGCCCAGCTCTGATCCTACCTTTTTTTCTCTTTCAGTTCCTGCCAAGATACAGAAAGGCCCGGAGAGTTTAAAAGCCAAGAAAGGCAGCACAGTCAATTTGACAGCTCACATCAGTGGGGAGCCAGCCCCTGATGTTGGCTGGGCCAAGGATGGGGAGGATATTGAAGAGGATGACCGGTGAGTGAAGCCCAGCCCTGGGTACTGGATGGGTAGCCTCAGATCAGAGGCAATCAAGTTAGAATGGAGATATAATAAGAATTTCTGATCTTCTTTCCTTCATCATACAAGCCCTTACCGGTAACGTTTAGGCATGGAGAAAAAGCATAGATGATGCCATAGCTTAAAAGTTTATAGTACAGTGTATAATGTGAACTTCCAATAGTATACTCATTATTCCTCCTCCTTCTCCAGTTCTTTCTCTAGTGATTGTCAGGTTAAAAAGAGCTTGTTACCCTTTGTTTAGGATCCTTTGCATTGACAGGGCATGAAGGAGAAGGCAACCTAGTCCAGATAACTGCTGATTCCCTAACAGCAAGCACTCTTATATGCTGCTGATTAAGTCAGGAAGCAACTTCTTTCTATTGTAGGTCTTAAAATGGGTCCCCGAGTTCTGATTCCCTTTCCTTCCTCTGCAGAATGTACTATAGCATTGGCAGTGACTCAACAACTCTCACCATCAAGAAAGTGACGCCAGATGATGCTGGGAAGTATGAGATCTTTGTGGAGAACAGCCTGGGCATGGATCAGTCCTTTGCGCGCCTTGATGTGAACTGAGCTCCCATCACCTCAGTCTGATCCACCCCCCCAAAGAAACTCTCCTTTCACAGCTGGGGGAATGCAATTAAAAACAAACAAACTGGAGCAATAGGGATATTTTGTTCCCCTGCAATACCCCAGAGCCCAGCTACACCTCTCACTGCTGCTTTGGCTCTCTCACTCAGACAGGACAGCTTCAGTAAGGGTACAACTTTTTCCCGACTTGCTGGCAAGAACAACTTCCCCCCTCACACACACTTTGGTCCAGGGCTCAATCCATTTCTTGGGCAGGCAGGACGATCATCTTATCAATAGTTTTGCCATCAGTATGTCATAAGCAACGTTCACTGAAAAGCCATCTAGGTGGGGGCAGGAAAGGGGCAGCGCAGAGACTACACGACAGTGGTCTTTCCCCAGAGCTGCCAAGATAGTCAGCCATCCCAGAAGCCTCCATATTCTTCTGGGCCCATTTTTTTGCTTGACAAATTAAATAAAACCAAATGACTCTATACTGTCTTGAGAGTTTTGATGATGACAATTCGTTGGTCAGCCAGATGTTACTGGATTTGGCATTTTTGTCCACCTACTGAGTCATTATTATCATTAAACATTTCCTCATAACTTTTACCTCAGTCCCAGTCCACACCCCTGGCAACTTAAAAGTCATCCTTAAGCTGTTCCAGTGCTGTAGCGTTTTTCCTTTTTTCCTAACATAACTTTTCCCATGGATAAGAACTGGTATGCTTCCTTGTCTTTGTGATCGGATCCGCTCTGCTGCTAATAACCTAATAGCTGGGACTGGTTTTCCGTGTTGCACTGAGCTATGAAATGGTTTGACTTGGCTTTATGTAATGTGTCAACCCAGTGTGGCTTGAAAAACCAGGGTTTTGTGACTTAGTGTATTGTAGGAATCAATTAGGATTAATAGCTTGCATAAATGCTTCATGGTTGCCCATGATACTAGCTGAGATTTTAACCTACATTGTGGACAAGCAACCTAAGCAGATTCATCAGAACATTGTACAGTTCTTCCGAGTCCATGTTCTGTGACTTTCCCAACCTGTGTACTTAGTATATATTTGCTGGGGGTGATGGGAGTTGCAGCCCTAGAATATCTAGGGCAAAGGGCTGTGGGTTACAGCAGGTTCCTGAAGACCAAAAGCATTTGGGACTTCTCAATGAAGAAGGCACCTTCTGGAGGCTAAGAGGCTAAGCCCTCTTTCTCTTGGCAATGTTGCCTCCTGCCGTTGCTCAGAAACACTGCAGGATCCCTTTTCCAATCAGCTGCTCTGGAGATATAAATAACTCTTCCTGACCATATTGGGCATTGTTTCAGTCTCCAACTTTTCGTCGTCATCTTGTCCACATGACAGGACTGAAATAAGGGAAAGTGGAGAAGATGATCTCTATTCCTTCCAAATCATGTTATGAGTGCTCCTTGACAAAGCTTGGCTTCAAATAGTGCACATTTATTTTATTTCTTTATTAAACACATTGGTATGAAATTTATATAATACAAACTCATTAAAAAAAAACCAACCATCCCACCCACCCCCATGGCAGCAACACAATCAAATCAGCTATTTGATCAGCTCCATCTCCATCAGTGGGTTTGGGGCCAGCTGACAAAACCACCTTTTTAGGGCTTTTGGGAAAAGTAGGGTGGGGGCCCTTTGGTGGGGGGGATGATGTTCCATAATGAAGGGGCCACCACCAAGAAGGCTCTTTTTCATGACAATCCCTATTCTATGAGACCCATGACATGCCCTGCCTTCTTACCCTGGTGGACCAGGGAGATGCAATAAGGAGGAGGTGGTCCTTCAAATAATCTGGCCCCCAGCCATGTAGAGTTTTAAAAGTGATAACCAGGATCTTGACTTGTATCGGGAAGCAGATTTCCTGACAGATAGTTTCTTAATGCTGTTAATTCAAAGACACCGCAAAGCTACTCCTGCTTTCCCTACTTAAAAGATTTCCTGTAGACAGCACAGAACCAAGAACATACAGTTAACAGTGGTGAACCCTTCCCACGCCTCAGAAAATCCTGATTTTGCAAAGTGATAATTGCATAATAAAAGCCTCATCTGAAAACACTTAGCAACTTCTCTCATACTCATAAAGCTTTACAGGACTCTTAGCAGAGTGGGATTTAACGTTCATGACACACTTTAGATTGTGTTACTAGCCAATGGATGATCTATTACAGATAAGCCCTGCCAAAACTTGGAGATCAATCAGTTGGGAAAAGACTAACGGTGGGTTTTAAAGAAGGCTCTAGTCTCAGCACCTTGAATTTATTTGACATTTCAGGATAGGCAAAATAGCACAAGCTTGCAAGCTTTTTCTTCATGGTTCTTGACATCACGTGATCTGTCTTGCAGGACACCCTAGATGCCTTGTAATATCCATTCAAAGCTAGTCTTCTCTGGATGCAAAAACTTACAAACAGTTCATGAAATACTGTAGTAGGAAGCCCACTGAAACCCTAATATTTCACCATCATTCCAAGTGGAATGGGGGAAATTGGGGATGAAGCGAGGTAGCCCAAGAACATTGAGAACTTAAAATGTTCTTGGAATGATGATGGACGAATTATTGGTGTGTGTGTGTGTGTGTGTGTGTGAAAGAGTTCGGCAAGAAACACCCTAGAAAAAGGACACAACAGACTCCCATCTAGAACTGCTGCAGGCCTCTCCTGTTTCCCCCAATCTCACATGTGGCAGTTAGCTGTCTTCAGTGCTAAACATGGGAAGGAAAAGCCATTTGCACATGCTTGGAAACTATTCTGTCTTTCTGACTTTGTAAGGCTGAGAAGTCAATCCAGGGAAAAGCAATTCTTCATTGTGCTCCCCAGTTCAGCAACAGGAATCAGCACCACTCGGAATCTGGCTTTCGGCCAGTCATTCTCTTTCAGCCCAACTCACCTCATAGGGTTGTTGTTGTTGCTGTTGTGGGGAAAATAGGAAGGAAGAAAGAATTAGGTAAGTTCCTGGCTTTGAGTTATTTATAGAAATAATAAAGGTAGCATATAAAATAAATAAATAAACCCGACACTTTCATCTTTGATCCAGGTCAACCTGATCAGTCCTCTTGAACGGGAATCTACAGCAGGTGGCACCGTCTACCTTATCTTGGCTGAGTCCAAAACATTTTAAGTAGGGTTAAGTAGGGTTATTCCTGATAGCCCCAAATCGACAGGCTAGATGAGAGGTCAGAAACAGGCAAAACCTACTTAGTCCCAAGTTATTGTTTCTTGAGTCTCCAGGAGTCGAGGCCAAAGGGAATAAAAACCGAAAAGGGCTAGTGCAGGGCTAGGCAACCTCGGCTCTTTTATGACTCGTGGACTTCAACTCCCAGAATTCCTGAGTCAGCGTAGCTGACTCAGGAATTCTGGGAGTTGAAGTCCACGAGTCATAAAAGAGCCGAGGTTGCCTACCCCTGGGCTAGTGGGAACGAAGCCAGTGCCCGCACTGCATTTTGGGCCATCTGGAGTCGTGGCAGGGGCTTCGAGTTGAGTCGCGCCGCGGCCCCGGTATTTCGCGGGGACGTGAATGCAAAGGCGGGATGCGGGAGCGAGCGGGAAAAGATGCGGACGCTTTGCGCTTTCCTGGCATTTCGGCTGGAGAATCCCGATTCTCCCGCTCCGAGCCTCTTCTCCTGCGACTTTAAGGTTGCGACTCCGCCCGGAGTCTGAGCTTAGCCTTAGAGATCCACGAGGAGGTGGAACCGGTGACGTGGCGTTCTGACGTGCTCGGAAGCAGAAGGCCGTGTTCCAGCGGGGAGATCTCGCCTCGGGGTCTTGCCCTAGGGATAGTGCCGAGGAGCCTATCTGACACCGTCTTCTCCACCGCCCAGACCCAAGTGGGCCATGCTGAAAGCCGTGATCCTAATCGGGGGTCCCCAGAAAGGTGAGCGGATACCCCTTGACGTCGTCCGGAAGCTGGTGCCCATTTGGGCTGGAGGCGGTAGAGCAGCCCCTTTGCAGAAATAAAAGCGAGTCCACAGTTTGCTGAAATCTCTCCCCCCCACCCCACCCCCAAAAAGCGAGCCTACGATGTGCGGGTTTGACGTGTTTCTTTTGCCAACAGCTTTTACGTGTAAGAGTATACTTAACCCTTAGCTGACTTCTGTCCTCCCAACCCTTAATCAGTGGAACAACCTGCCTCCAGAAGCTATGAATGCTTCAACACTGGAAGGTTTTAAGAAGAGACTGGACAGCCATTTGTCTGAAATGGTATTGGGTTTCCTGCCTGAGCAGGGGGTTGGACTAGATGACCTCCAAGGTCCCTTCCAACTTTATTATTATTACTATTAACCCCTGATTTTCCTCCTGTCCAGGGCAGCCGGGCCTCTTCTTCGGAAGGACCTCCCTTCAGATGGCCGTAATGTCTCCCCTGAACCTTCTCTGTGCCAGGCTAAACATTCCCAGCTTCTTCAACCCTTCTTCACAGTCATAGCTGGATAGGCTCCCATTGGTTAATGGGCTCCCTAAAATGCTGGAGAGCAATGATGCCTTTCCCTCTTACAACACTTTGTAATCCCTTTTGTGTTTTACTGTCTATTCTCTGCTTCTGGCAGAAGATTGCCAGACCAAAAGAAGGGCAAATTCTGGGGAGAGTTGGCTCCTGATTCTGGAATTGTCTTGCTTTTTCAGGGACCCGCTTCCGGCCCTTGTCCTTTGAAGTGCCCAAACCCTTGTTCCCAGTGGCAGGGGTACCCATGATACAGCATCACATTGAGGCATGCACTAAGGTAAGGGGTTTATTCAGATTAAACTTGGAAGGGCAGGGCAGCACCTGTCAGTTTGTTGCCTTACCTTAAACAAAACATAGTCCGGCAATGAAGCAAGCAGGAAAGTGAAGTCAGCTATGCCTGCCCTATTCCTGCCATTTCTAACAGGTACCCAACATGAAGGAGATTCTTCTGATTGGCTTCTATCAACCTAATGAGGCACTCAACCACTTCCTGGTGTCTGCCCAGCAAGAGTTCAAAATCCCTATCAGGTGGGTGGCCAGTGGTTATTGAAAAGAAAAATTTAAAAGCAGATCCAGTGCTATCCGCCACTCAGATACTGGTTCTGCATAGTCTGGCCTTTTAAAAAATGCCCTGTTGCATTGGCCAATACATTGTTATCATATTTGCAAATATCTGAGCTGTAATTCAGTCTGTCTTGTCTTAGGGCCCTTCCGGATATGCTAGGCCCGATCACTCCCAGGAGCTGAATTCTGTTTTACCAGTTGATTCCAAGTTTTTCATTCCTTTGGATGTATCCATATGTAATTTTCCCTAAGGACTGAGGACTGTGCCTCAGGTTGGATGAAATAGATGTAGTATTTGAAAGATTATCCTGAAATAAAAAGTAGTCAGTCTATAACAGACATGTCAAACACAAGGCCCGGGGGCCGGATGCGGCCCACAAAGTGGTTTCATGTGGCCCACGAAGCCATCCTGGAAACAGTGAGGGAACGGCCCCCGCTGTCTTGGCCCTGGCTGGGAGCCAATGTACAATTTTGTGGTGGCCATCTATGCTGAAACGCATTCAGTCTTAGCTCCACAAGGCTGTCCAGAAACACCGAGGAACCAGCCCCTGCCGTGTCGGCCCCGCCCCCTGGGTGCATGCTGGGGAGGTGTCACCCTTTGTGAGGAATGAAGAAATGGACCGTGCCTTGGCGCTTGCCCCTGTCCCACCCCCTTCTGCCAGAGACCCTCAGATCTGTCCCACTCCTGCCCAGGCCCCCATAGGCACCCTTGATGTCGAGCTGGCCGTGCCCACCCAGTAGGCCGCACCCACCCTGACCACACCCACCCGGCCCCCCGAGGGCAACCGCAATGCTGATGCGGCCCTCAATGAAATTGAGTTTGACACCCCTGGTCTATAAGCTTCCATTATTAGTCAGCCTATAAGCTTCCACTATTTGGAAGTAGGAGGCTCCGATGGCCGTCTAATTTCTAATTTCTGTAGGTATCTCCAGGAATATGCAGCACTTGGCACAGGTGGGGGTATCTACCACTTCCGTGACCAGATCCTTTCAGGTAACCCTGCAGCCTTCTTTGTGCTCAATGCTGATGTCTGCTCTGAATTCCCGCTCGAAGAGATGCTTGCCTTCCATCGTCAGCGTGGCAGTTCCGACAGCTTCCTCATGCTGGGCACCACGGTAGGAGACAGCCCTGCCTTCCCAAACTGGGTCAGTCATGAGGGAGTGGTTGGGAGACAGAGGCTCAGTTAACTGGGGAGATGCAGGGCACCAGGCAGGAGAGCCTGGGCCCTTCTTAAGATCCTCTTTTGAAACCTCTTAGAGGTTTCAAGTGTTTCTGTCCCCTCAGTGCATCCATGCCAATCTTCTTTTCTGCAGGCCAATAGGAAGCAGTCTCTGAACTATGGCTGTATTGTGGCGAATGCTGACACACACGAGGTAGGAAGGTAGGAAGCCAGGCAGAAAGGGGGGGGGGAGGTCTGGAAAGGAGGCAGGACCCACTAGTGAGCCAAAAAGAGAAGGCCTGCCTTCCGCTTGCCAGATCCCAGGTTTCCTCTCAGGAATCTTTTTCAGCACTGTGCACAACATTGGCAAGGCTCTTGTCACATCCCCTTTTCCAGGTCTTGCACTATGTGGAGAAGCCCAGCACTTTTGTGAGCGAGCTCATCAACTGTGGCATCTACCTATTTACCCCAGCCATCTTCCATCACATTGGGGAAGTCTTCCAACGTAACCAGCAGGAGCTGCTCTTGTGAGTGTCTTTTCCAGCGTTATGTTTGGGTCCTTCCTGCTCTGCATAACGGCAGGTCACTCATCTACCATCTCTCTCTCTCTCTCTCTGTTCATCTCCTCCTCCTGCCAACCTTTGCCCTCATGCAGGTATTCGTACCTTGGGTAAGTGTCCATCTCTCCTTTCATCCTGCATGTGCATTTTTCAAGAGTTATTGCTGTTCTTTTTGGTTCCATAGAACTTAGACACTAGATAGAAATCTAGGTTGTTGTTTTTTCCAGTTTCCCAGTTGCTGGAGGAAGTTGTGCTGCTCCCAAATTCATTCTTCCTATGGCTTGAGAGCTTTGTTTTCTGGTTGGATATGTACTCTCTCTCTCTCTCTCTTTCTAGGAAGCAATATGCTGCCCCTCAGCTTGTCTTTGTCTCATTCCCACAGAGAGGAGAACACAAACGGTTGGCAGAGGGCTGAAGCCATCCGACTGGAGCAAGACATCTTTACAGGCCTTGCTGGGCAGGGACGCCTCTTTGCCTACAGAACGGAAGGGTTCTGGAGCCAGATCAAATCTGCTGGGTGAGGAAGAGGGAGGGGCTTTATTTGACACCCAAGGTGGTAGCGGTTGCCAGACTCATACAAGGTCGTCCTCAACTTACAACCATTCATTTAGCAACCATTTGAAATTTACAATGGTACTGAAACCAGTGACTTAAACCAGTCCCTGCATTTATAAACGACACAGTATCCCCACCTTTACGTGATCAGAATTCAGGTGCTTGCCAGCAGGCATGTATTTACAATGGCTGCAATGTTCTGAGGTCACGTGTTTGTCATTTGAAACCTTCCCAACTGGCTTCCAATAAGCAAAGTCAATGGAGGAAGCTGGATTTGCTTAACAACTGCACAATTCAGTTAATCTTTGCAGTGATTTGCTTAACAACCATGGCAAAAAAAAAAAGTTGTAAAAATTGGGTGCGACTTACTTAACGACCACCTTGCCCAGCAACAGAAATTCTGGTCCTAATTGTAGTTATCAGTTAAGGATTCCCTGTATTCAGTGGCCCATGAAGTGGACAGGCAGCGGTTGCAAATTGGAGCTGAGTGTATCTGTGAACACAGGTTGACTCAGCTGTCTTGTGCAACTTTGGGTTGTATAAAACTTGACTATTTCTTCCTTGAGCAAATATGCAGATAATGCAAATGAGGGAGAGACTTCAGAATGAGCCATGAAAAATATGTGTTGCAGTGGTATGAGAAACGATTCACTTTGTTTGAAGTAGCAAGTCAGAGCAGATGAGAGACTGTGAGCCTGGCTGCTCATTTTGTTTCATGGGCTGTAGAGCCCCTGTAAATCTCTGTCTTGCTTCTTCTTGTCTAAATCTTCTGTAGAAAAGGAAGAGCATCCAAATGAATTAAGACGTGCATCACTTTAACTCAGTGGTTCTCAACCTGTGGGTCAGGACCCCATTTGGGGTCGATCGACCATTTCACGGGGGTCGCCAAGCAAGGCTGTCCGCCATTTTTTTTGTCCGCCATTTTTTTGTCCGCCATTTTTCCCCCCTTTTCCGGCGGGTGCCTTACCTCCCTTGGGCTGGGCCAGCTGGTGGTCGGCCTGCTCCGTCTCTGCCGCTTGCCAGCTAGCCTCGGCCGGTGCAGGGGGCGGAACCACACATGTGCGGCGCTCCCGGGCAGGGAAAGTCCTCGACTTACGACCGGTTTGGTAGTCCTCGACTTACGACCGGTTTAGTCCTCGACTTACGACCGGTTTAGTCCTCGACTTACGACCGGTTTAGTCCTCGATTTACAACCGGTTGGGGTCGCGGCATTAAAAAGGTTGAGAACCACTGCTTTAACTGAAGCCTTGGTTTTGTAGGTTAGCATCCATCAGGTTTAGATCTGTGGCTTGTCAGAGAAATGGCAGGACCCCAGCAAAAAAGAAAGAAAATCTGAATTTTTGAATGTAAATATGGATACTGTGCCAGGTAGAATGTCATTTTCTTATAATTGAGCGTGTGTGTGTGTTTGTGTTTTCCTGATGAGAGTCATTTGATTTCTTGTTCTGTCTACATGAGGCTGGCAATACAGGTAAAGTGTGATGTTTGAGAACTGGGGGCCAAACATAATAGCTCCCATGTTCTTTTTGCCAGCTCTGCCATCTATGCCAATCGTCTTTATCTGACCTGCTACAGCCAGTGTCATCCGGAGAGACTTGCCCAGAACCAACCCGGTGGGCCCAGCATCCGAGGTATCTCCTCCTTCCACATTACATTGTGAGGCAAAAACAGCAATACATTCCGTTGGCAGGAACAAGGCACACACTTTTGGGGGTCCCTATGGGTAAAGCTGTCATCTCATCCAGCTCCATCAGTCCTGTAGATGTCTTGCTGGAGAGACCATAATAGCAGATCAGTTTCTTAAGCTATCCTATCTATCCTAGGACTCCAAAATGTCTGGCATGTTTTCTTCAGTTCCTGGGGGGATCAGAGGGGGTTTCATTTATTAATACTACATTGTTGTTGTTTGGATTGTTTTGGATGAAATGTTTTTGAAAGTGTTTTTTTTTTTTACCTAAGTTGGGGACTTGTCTCGCTTTCCCCATATAATTGGTTCCAAAATCTTGAGCATTCCGGCAAGAACCTTCCTTGCTTTGCCACAAGTTTCAGTTGTGAGGTAATTTTAGCAGCTGAGCCCTGTGTGGGGAAAGGCATTCAGAAGTGATGTTGAGAGGTGTGTGTCCAGGGATCACGAAATAACTCAGTGCTAGAGCTGGAAAGCCCACATTGTAAAGCGGGTGACCTCCTCTAGCAAAGCCTTCAGAAGAATGGAAATGTCTCACGGAGGAGAGAGGAGAGCAGAAGTAATTTGGTCACCACGATGTAAAAAAGATGTTGAGACTCTAGAAAGAGAACAGAGAAGAGCAACAAAGATGATTAGGGGACTGGAGGCTAAAACATATAAGGAACGGTTGCTGGAATTGGGTATGTCTAGTTTAACAAAGAGAAGGACGAGGGGGGACATGATAGCAGTGTTCCAATATCTCAGGGGCTGCCAGAAAGAAGAGGGAGTCAAGCTATTTTCCAAAGCACCTGAAGGCAGGACAAGGAGCAACGGATGT